TGACCCTAACTTTTCCCATGCCCTGCTACCAGATCTTTCCCACTTGTAGACATAGCAGTGGAACTAAATTGAGCTGTTGTGATGAGGTGGTCTACATTTGGCAGATAAAAGAAAAACGCAAAAGCGCCCGTATGTACTTGTTCCTAACAACAAATCAGTTCTTTTTTTTGTTATAAAAATTAGATAAGTTTCAAAGATCGTATAATGGATAAAGCCTTTGGATTGACCATTCCCATTCCCGGAATGAGCCATCGCACTCCACTTCCGTTCGAATTCGTAGTGGCTAGTGGCTGTTTGAAAGCGTGTCTGGCCGACTTATTGACTTGCGGTGGCCAGTTGACGTACTGTCAGTACTTTTATTCTCTTAGACAAGTCCGATAACTGCCTTACCCGGAAAGACGAAAAGCTTGTTTGGCCTGGGCGAGAATCGATCCGGGACAAGAACCCGGATCATGCGTGCTTGCTGGTGCGCCACTGGACGCTACACCACCTCCAGAGAATTTGAATATTACTTTAGTTTTTCGAAATGAAAATTTCCTCTTTAACACAGATTACCTGTTTTCCTTGAAGATGAATAGTGTAAAAATTTGAATATCTTTGTCGTTCAATTTTAGGACCTATCTTTTGGAGTTTCTGAAATACTGCGACTTATGTCAGCTTTTTCACTGTTCCCGTACGAGTGACAATGTTTTTCCTATGTTAGTTTCAACCATGAAAATGTAGTTTTCCAGTTCCAGTTGAAAAAAGCGGAAGACATGTTATTCCCAGCTGAATGTCCTTCGTTTATTCAAGGTGACGTAAGTGGTAACCATATGGCCGGGGACAGAGCGCCTTACATCATCTTCCACAAGTTTTAATCGAATGTTTTTGCTTGATTCTTCGTGAAGTCAGGTCGCTATAACTTCATTGTCTTCTACGATTTCATTAATAGCTCTTTTGGTAGCAGCTCATAATGGGGAAATGAACTCCCACTTGAACTCCCAAGTGCTCTGACGCTAATCCCGTATCTATGTGAAAATAAACTTTTCGTCCCCTGCGAAATCGGTGCATGTCTCACGTGAAAGGCACGGTTCACGATAATTTTGAGTAGTCGACACTCTTCTAGCACCTGATCCTGACGTCTGACATTGCAAAAGTGATGAAAGGCGCGAAAATTAGGCGGGTTTAAAAAAAAGAAGGCTTCAAAAAGGACAGGATTGCACGAGATTATAATGACAGAAGCGGCAAGGATGGGTGTTTGGAAGAGAAGCGAAAAGAGCTGGCTAAGTGGGCAAAAATAGCAGAAATTACTTCCCGTTGGTTACTCATTTATTGGCGGCATAGTTCATAATATAAAAAACTGTTTCTTTGAATAAGAAAACAAAGCGAATCATTGCAGGGTCCGAATAAAATCGGTGGTCAACGCTTCACTGTGAATGGTCTTAACAAGGCTGTCATAAACGGCCAAATCCTACGGAAAAACCTTAAAAACCATTTTTATCGTGGGCTGTTCCTTCAAGAGTTCATATGACTCTCTAACCATAAGCGCCTCCTAGAATATCTTCAAAGGTGGTATGTGTAGAGGTTTGCTCGTGATCCTAGTTATTCGCATAAATGGAGTATATCATGCAGTTATTCCGACTCGACCGCCCACAGAACCGATAAATAGTTTTTGACAGTACACACCTCCATGATTCTCTTGGGCGCATTCATAGTGCGACGCCGACGTCTGCGTCAGCGCCGCATTATGAATGCGCCGCCGATCGAAAGCCGGAAAATACTACGTTCTTGTGAGAGACACCTGGACGATCACCTACGGTGAAGCATCCATGCGGCACTTCCAATCATACTTCTTCTTTTTGTTTTTCATGGAAACAACCCTATTTTCTTATGCTGCAATACCATTTGAGGAAAAGTGAAGCTCACCTACTTTCTTACTCTCATGATATAAAAATTTCACACGCTAATAGGTGCTAAGTGGGTTGGGGGGGACCACGCGGCGAGGCAGGCGGCGCGGCACCCTGCGCTCTCCAGGGAGATAGTAGAGAAGGAGGCTCGAAACGGTGTTTAGGGACGTCTCATAGTTTTTTATGTTGTGACTGTGTATTTTTCACCTAATTTTAGGAAGGGGGGGGGGGGGGGGG